TGGGAGTCTGACCCCTGGGTTCTAGGGCATTGGGAACTTCCCTTCACTGTCTTCCAGGAATTTTATTGTTCCAGTTTACACTCCCAACAGCAATAAAAGAGAGTTCCCTTGGTTCCACATTGTTGCTGACACTTGGTATCATCAGATTTTTTTTTAATTTTTGTCAGTCTGGTGGGTGTATAATTATGGCTTTAATTTGCATTTAGCTAATATTAATGAGCTTGAGCATATTTTCATATGTTTATGAACCATTTTTGTCTCCTGTGAAGTGTCTATTCAAATATCTTGCACATTTTTCTATACGTTGTTCCTTTTTCTTGTTAATCTATACATTCTTTACGTAGCCTTGATGTTGTCAGAAATGTGTGTTGCAAATATCTTCTCCAACTCTATAATTGTTATTTTGCATACAGCGAGAGGTAAGGGTTCACTTTCATTTTTTCCCCCATAGGTTTACCCACCTATTCCTGCACTGTTTATTTATAATCTGCTCCCCTCCCCCATCTGCAAGGCCACCTGTGATATATCCATATATATGTAGGTCTGTTGTTGGACTCTGTTCGATTTCATTTGTCTGTCTGTTCCTATGCCAATAGCAGCTGTCTGAGTTACTGTCACTTAATTATGTCTTGATACCTGCTAAATAGGTTCTCACCTTATTTTTCTTCTTTGAGAGTGTCTTGTCTATTGTGGCTCTTTCTATTTCCAGATGAGTATTTTTCTCCCACTTTAAAAAAAAATATTTTATTTATTTATTTTAGAGAGAGAGAATCTTCAGCAGGCTCCATGCTCTGCACATGGAGCCTGACGCGGGGTTCGATCTCACAACCCTGAGGTCATGACGTGAGCCAAAATCAAGAGTTGGATGCTTAATCAACTGAGCCACCTAGGCATCCCGTCCCACTTTTTTTTTCACATAAGTTTTAGCAATAATCGCGCTTCAGATAAACCTCATTGGCTACGATACTGCCACAGTACAAAGCTATTTTCGCACAAATTTTTAAATCAGCTCATCAGTGTCACTAATAACTCAGTTGATCTTTTGATTGGGAATTCATTATAGCTGTAAATCAGCTTGGGAAAAATTGACATCTTTACAACATTGCGTCCTCTGACTCATCAGCACAGTCTATCTCCCTATTAATTTGAGTCTTCCTTAATGTTTGCCCATAGGATTTCATAACTTTGTCCATTATGGTCTTGCGATCAGGCGACAGCCATAGTTTCAACATGACTATGCCTCCTGGTAGAAGCGTCCTCTTTGGTGACCTCTAGGATCTCTAGGCTCAGAGCACTTACTGTTGCAGAACAGAAGCACAGATTCCTCAAGTAGGTCACTGGGTATTGTCCGTATTAGGGACAGAGTCTCGTAAAGTGGTGAATTGATGTAGCATATGTACTGCTTCCTGGGGGCTAGCATCCCACCTCGCAGGTGTCATCTCCGAGTTGGAGCCTCATCTAAATCTCCATGTGGCTAGCCCATCACTCTAGTATGCCAGCAACTTCTGGATGGCACATATTTGGTAGGAATGGTGGGTTCCTGGTCCTATGTCCATTACATACCTCCTTTGCCATAAAGCAGATCCTTTGGTAACTAGGCAGTTATGTGGGAGTCCATGTCAGCCAATCAGACACTTTGTGAGCTCTTTTTTTTTTAAGATTTTATTTATTTATTTGAGAGAGAGAGAGAATGAGACATAGAAAGCACGAGAGGGAAGAGGGTCAGAGGGAGAAGTAGACTCCCCGCTGAGCAGGAAGCCTGATGCGGGACTCGATCCCGGGACTCCAGGATCATGACCTGAGCCGAAGGCAGTCGCTTTAACCAACTGAGCCACCCAGGCGCCCCACTTTGTGAGCTCTTGATAGGGGTGCTGAAGTAATTGCAGGCAGAAAAGGCACACCCTCATCCAGTTACATGGCGGTCTCAGTGAACATGAATTATTGCTTTTTCTAGAATAGAAGGGATCCAAGGTAATCAACTTGCCAATAAGTAACTGGTTGGCTCCTGTAGGGACAGGTGACAGGCTACATCTGGTAGTGATGGTAGCTGGATCAGCCTTGGTTACAAGGAACCCATGCTGTTGGGCTCATGCATGGCCTCCACTCTGCTACCATGATTACTTCACTGGGGAGACCACTGTGCCAGCACAATGGGGTCAGAAGAAAGAGCCTGGTTTATGCTCATTGGCCAGTCCTTTCTATCTGCTTGGTTGTTTAGAGCCTCTGTGGTGGATGCTCACTGGTGAATATTAACATGCAATACAAAGATCTTCACTCTTTTTTTTTTTTTAAAGATTTTATTTATTTATTTGACAGAGAGAGAGACAGTGAGAGAGGGAACACAAGCAGGGGGAGTGGGAAAGGGAGAAGCAGGCCTCCCGCCGAGCAGAGAGCCCGATGCGGGGCTCAATCCCAGGACCCCGAGATCATGACCTGAGACGAAGGCAATTGCTTAACCAACTGAGCCACCCAGGCGCCCCAAGATCTTCACTCTTCGTACCAATTCCCATAGGTCCATCGACATGCCTTGTCTTCAGACCTTTTTGTGCCCGAACTTTCAGATTGTTCCTTCCAGGCTCCAACCAACCAACTAAGCCATGTACCACTGTCTATGAGTCCAGGCCACATCTCCTGCCACACAAAGTGAATGGCAAAATTCACTGCCTGAAGCTTTGCCTATGGGGGTGACTGCCCCTCACCACTGTCTTTCAGGGCAGCTGCCGAATGGGGATATAGTGCAGCAGCAGGCCATTTTCAGCCCATACCAACATATTGAGCCAACCTTCCTATGAACCAAGCACATGCTTTTTGCTCCTCTGTCACTGTGTCAGGGAATCCCTGAGACCACTGGTGTGAGCTGATAGATACTGCTGCTATAGTGGTAGATGACAAAGTGTCTGGACCACCTACCTCTGCATCTACATGAAGCCTTCCAATCCTGGATCTGCCACTTAGATTATGATGTACCTACCCGACTTTATGTCTTGGTAGCCTGATGGAACCAAGTGATGGGCAATTCTGGCCTCAGGGTCACTTTTTTTCTTTTTAAGATTTTATTTATTTGACAGAGAGAGACAGCAAGAGAGGGAACACAAGCAGGGGGAGTGGGAGAGGGAGAAGCAGGCTTTCTGCTGAGCAGGGAGCCCGATTGAGCCTGGGGCTCAATCCCAGGACCCTGGGATCATGACCTGAGCCGAAGGCAGACGCTTAATGACTGAGCCACCCAGGGGCCCCTGGCCTCAGAGTCACTTTTGATGTCCCATAGACACATTTCATTTCTACCAGAGACCAGTAGCAAGCCAGGAGTTACTTTTTGAGATGCTTTGATTTGTGAGTTTGTAGTTTTCATCAGATTTAAAAAGAAATTTCAGTCATTATATCCTCAAGTCATATTTGTCTTCTTCCTAACCCCCACCCCCGTTTTCAGGGACTCCAATTACACATTTATGAAGCCTCTTGAAGTTGTCCCATAACTCACCGGTGCTCTGTTTGTTCTTTTCAGGCTTGTTTCTCTGTATTTCATTTACTTTCTCCATGTCTTCCAGTTCACTTTTTCTTTTGCTGTGTCTAATGTGCTGTTAATCCCATTCAGTGTATTTTCCACCTTTAGAAGCTTGATCTGGGTCTTTTTTGCGTCTATTTAACATGCTCAATCTTCTACTCCTCCCTCCGTCCCTTCCTTCCTTGAGCAAGCCCTGACAGCTCTTTTTTTTTTAGATTTATTTTTTTAGTGGGAGAGGGGCAGAGGAAGGGGGAGAGGGGGAGAAGCAGATTCCCCGCTGGGCAGGGAGCCTGACCCAGGGCTTGATCCCAGGACCCTGAGATCATGACCCGAGTGGAAATCAAGAGCCGACACTTAACTGACTGAGCCACCCAGGCTCCCCCTTCATTGAAAGCTCTAAAGCTCCAGGCCTTGTTCCTGGGTGCAAGGGAAACAATGGGTGATGTAGAATTGTGGAGTCTTGTGCAGAAGTGCCCTGAGATCAGAGGTCACAGACTATTATCCCTGGACAATATCCCTGACCCTTCTTTGGGCAAAGCCAAAGAGGTCCCTGCTGGGAAGGAAGGCCCGGGTGCCACACTGTGCTTGCCCTGCCCAGTGCTGGGTCTCAGCTTCCTATGGTATAAAGGGAACAAGAAGCTCTGCTTCTGTGTCCTGGGCTTTTTTTGGGCCCAGATGAGACAAGAGGAGCCAGAGGGTAGGGGAAGGTGCTGGTCTGGGCTAGCCTCCAGGTCACTGGCAGGCGGCCTGATCTTGCCAATGCCCTGGCCTTAGACTCCTACTACTGGTTCTGCGGAGGTGACCGGTGCTTGTTCATCCAGAATCGACAGACCAGGCCCTGGGCAGCTGGCAGCCTCCCTGTCGGTGGAGCCTTATCGCCATCCACAGACCCCGCTGTCCTGACTCCACCCTGGCTGCCAGCCCCAAACGCTGCCTGTGACCCCGCCCACCCGGGAGGGGGGCGGTGCTTCTGGGCAGAGACTAGTACAGGGCCGGACACAGGGGCGCAGGGTCCAAGGGTCCGTCTGCTGGAGGAGTGTACGAGGTGGGCAGGGAGGGGCCGGGCCCCGGGCTCGAGGGCCCCTTTGGCCTGAAACGGGGCCGTTAGGACGCTCTGCTGCCCATCCCGGGCACCTGGCCCGCGGGGGGCCTCCACGAGAGTCTGTCCAGTGACAACAAGCGAGTGCACGAGCGGTTCTGGGACAGCGGGCGCTGCTGGCACAGCCGGCCCGCCTGCGTCAGCGACGAGGCCTGTGCGGCTGCGACCCGCCGTCCCGACGCTGCCGCCCGGGCAGCCAGTGCTGCCAGACCCTCCGCTCAGCGCCGTGGGCGGGCGGGACCACACCCAGAGGGGTCCCTGTGGTTCGCGGCGGCCGCAGGCGGGGCCTCCGCCCTTGCCCGCCCCCTCGCCGCGCGAGCCTCGCCCCCTCCCTGCCCGCCCTCCTAGCGGTCAGCCAATCGCAAGACGCGTTGCTGGGCGGCGCGGCGCGGGGTGGGCCTATAGGGTGGCGCGTTGCTGGGCTGCGGCGCCGCAGGCCGCACCCAGCTCCCGCGGCGGGGGCAGCGCTGGGGGCTGAGGGGGCGGAGAGGCCGGGCGGGCCGGGGCTTGCGGGCTGGGGAGCGCGCGGCGGACAGGGGGCGGAGCCCGAGCCGGAGCCCCGAGCCGGAGCCGACGTGCGGCGGCCGCCCTCGGACCTGG